TTACAGACATTTTTAACTCTTGATATGAGTACTTTCTGAAGCATTTAGGAGAAAGTGCTTTCAGACTCACTAGAATTCTGGCCTCCTATTTTGTACTTGCATACCATATTGAAATTAAGATCTGGGATGGAAGAAAAATTGTACTTGTCTTTCATTTTGAGATTACACCTCATCAGAAAGAATGGGTTCAAAAGATAACTGGATTCAAAAACTTTGTGGGTTTTTAGGATAAAATGTTGTATGCTACAAGGTTAACTTTTTAAGCTTAACTGTCAGCAAGGGCTTATTCAGGTCAACATTCCAAAAGAAGGTGTTGAAGAGGGCACCAATACAGCAGCACAAATTGCTTTGGTAGCAATGGCCTCTGTTCTAATGCATACACAGTTAAATCTAACACAATGGTTGGGTTGTTTGGGACATCTGCTGGTTAAATTTGTCCTAGTAATGACAGGCAAGGCACAGAAATGTGTCTGTTTTGTCCTCCAAACACATATTTTTTCTGTTCCAGTTTCATTTTGTGAAATGCCTAGACACCAGGGTGAGGAGGGATGAAGAAGAGCCGCCTTGCTTGGAAGAATCAAGTCTGTAGGAGGTTAAGAAAAACTAAAAAAGCTCAGATGATAGTCACTATTTTAGGCAGCCACAGATAAATCTAACACTGCAGTGGGGTTGTTTGGAACATCTGAAAAAGAACTAGTATTGTGAAAGAGGAGTGATGCATCCTAGAGGACACACAGATCAAAGAGCCAGAGCTATTTTAAACAACAAGGAAAGGTGAAGATTTATGTCTGCTGAAAGGCAGGCTTACTGTCAACCTGGGTGTGCAAATCTCGTGGCCTATGGGGATTTAAACCCCAATTCCTTTTTAAAAGCATATCAAACCAATTTCAGTGAAGGCAGTGGCATTCTTCTGCTTTCATGGTGAAATGCTTGGCCAGGAAAGAAGTTATCATGTGTTATTCTTTGCTGCACACACACAGAATCTTCACAGAGGTAAATATGGTATGTTTGATGGAAGCATAAATGGTCTTCTGAAGTGTGGCATAACCTCCAAAAATAACAGTGCTTAGTTTAGGTGGTAGTACTTGCTCCCCACTATGTCTGCCTGTTTACAACCATTTCTTGATTTGAAGAATGCAGACATTCAGATTCGCTAGAAAAATTTCTGGACTTTTGCTATGGGAACACAGTTGTAGCATTTTGGAATTGTCTGCATGTGGTGGGTTTGACCTTGACTAGATTCCAGGTGCTCACCAAAGCCACTCTATCACTCCCCCTCCTCAGCTGGACAGGGGAGAGAAAAATATAGCAAGAAGCTTATGGGTTGAGGTAAGGACAGTGAGAGATCATTCAGCAGTTATTGTCATAGGCAAAACAGACTCAACTTGGGGAGATTAGTTTAATTTATTGCCAATCAAAATCAGAGTAGGATAATGAGAAAAAACACATTCCCCCCACCCCTCTCTTCTTCCCAGCCTCAACTTAGCTTCCGATTTCTCTACCACCTCCCTCTAGGCGGCCCAGGGGGACAGGGAGTGGGGGCTGTGGTCAGTTCATCACATGTTGTCTCTGCCGCTCCTTCATCCTCAAGGGAAGGACTCGCACTCTTCCCCTGCTCCAGTGTGGGGTCCCGCCCACGGGAGACAGTTCTCCACGAACTTCTCCAATGTGAGTCCTTCCCACAGGCTGCAGTTCTTCAGGAACTGCTCCAGCATGGGTCACTTCTACAGGGTGCAGTCCTTCAGGAACAGACTGCTCCAGTGTGGGTCCCCCATGGGGTCACAAGTCCTGCCAACAAACCTGCTCCAGCATGGGCTCCTCTCTCCATGGGGCCACAGATCCTGCCAGGAGCTTGCCCCAGCACGGGCCTCCCACAGCTTCTTTCGGGCATCCACCTGCTCCGTCATGGGGTCGTCCCCAGGCTGCAGGCGGAGATCTGCTCCAGCATGGAGCTCCATGGGCTGCAGGGGGACAGCCTGCTTCATCATGGTCTTCACCATAGTCTGCAGGGGAATATCTGCTCTGGTGCCTGGAGCACCTCCCCGCCCTCCTTCTTCACTGACCTTGGTGTCTGCAGAGTTGTTTCTCGCATATTCTCACTCTTCTCCTTGCAGAGGGCTGCAAATGTTGTGTGCCATTTGATTCCCCTCCCCCGCCCTTCTTAAATACATTACCACATCGGCACTACCACCGTTGCTGTTTGGCTTGGCCTTGGCCAGCGGCAGGTCCATCTTGGAGCTGGCTGGCACTGGCTCTGTTGGACACAGGGGAAGCTTCTAGCAGTTTCTCGCAGAAGCCACCCCTGCAACCCCCACGACCACCAAAACCTTGCAACACAAACGCAATACACTGCATCACCAAGAATGTTTCTAAAATACCTAGCTGAAATATGAAGACTGAACACTACAGTTATCACTAGAGGTGCAACTACTTAATCAGAGGCAGAATCTAGGAGAAAATAGTAATAAATTTAGAATAAACTTTTTTTAGTCTTGAAAAACTAAAAAACTGCACTAAAAACCATCTCCGACCTGAGGGCAGGTAATGGTAGTCATTACAGCTGATTCTAGATCAGGAAAGATGGCCTTTCATCAAGTTGTGTCAATAGCTGCTTTAGCTTAAAGTCAAAGTTGGTAGAAATGGAAGAGCATTTTAAGGTGTTTGGTCATGTGTAGGTTTTTACGTATGTGATGGTGTTTGTAAACACTCACATGCAGCACCAAGAATTGTGTAGTAGTTGTAAAACAGTGGGTGAACAGGAGAGTCCTTCATTGTGTTTCTTATTTCATAGCATTAAAATGTTCCATGAATTTGAGAGCCACTACTGATTCCTTTCCTAAATAAAGATGCCACAAACTTGTTAGGGACTTTAGATTGACAAAAACAATCAATTAGTTGCTAGGCAGCAACCACAGCCATCCAGTTTTGGGACGGGATTATAATTTGCACTTTCCAAGAGTTGGCAACAAGCTGTGAGACTTTCTGAGCAGGTATCGCGTAATCATAAGCAGTTATAAGGAGTTACTGCAAAGGTTGATGGCAGGGCTAGTTCTCAGTTAACAGAAATCTCTCATGATACAATGTTCACCAAGCGTTGTTTTTCTAGTACTGAGTGCCTTATGCCTTTTCTGAAGTGAAATCAGACCCTCCTGTATGTTTTTGTGTTGATTTCCCTAGTCCTGTGGGATGCTATCAAAAGACACTCTTGTTTACTGAGAAAATTTTGGATTACAGATTGCTACAAAGGCCCATTTAGTTGCCTCTGCAGCTATCTAGCTCGGATTTTGCCATGTCACTATCAGATGATCATCACTAGCCAGGCCCAAAATTATTGCATCTAGTATGGAAGATGTTAGCTGGGCACGTGTCATGAGCAAGGATGGTTTTGGAGCTGAGGAGGTTCTCAGATAGAGTGGGAAACACCTTATAGGCATCCTTACTCATCAAAAGGAGAAAGGCGTTAGAAGCAGCCTAGTGTTACCAGGACTTAAAGCACAGGCTAGCTGACTCATTGTAAATCTACAGCATAGTTTATCTTTTGGCAGCTTGTTTGACATTGCAAACGTAAGATGTGAGTTTTCTATACCTTGATGTTTGTCTGACTAATAAGATTTGTCCCCACCACAGAAAACTGTATTTACAATCTTTGCTTGTTTGAGGAATTTTCCGGATTCTGATGCCGGATTCTTCAGGTTATGTTTGGAATAACTAACTGAACACCAAAGACAAGCATTAAGTCCAAAGAGAGACTGAATTGCGGAGAGCAGTAACACTGTACTTGAACATTTGACTTATCTGATACTTTTTGGCCTTCCCTCCAAAGGGCTGTAAATGTTACTTGCCATTCTTCCATGAAACTGTTCATGGAAGCACAGATTCTTATGTGCACACATTCTTGAAAAGAGAGGGACTGCATGTATTTTATTTTCCTTTTGTCAGTGTTGACAGTAAGAATTTGCTCTCTGAGTCGGATTACTCAATGTTTCAAATTGTGGCAGACTTAAGGAAGTGTTGTGTCTTCTTGTCTTTTACACTTGCTATGGGAAAAGAAGGTCATGCAGGGTTCCAGATGTCTTGATTCATGTTGCTGTTCTCTCAGAATTGAAGACGGCACCCATGATTTTGCTTTTGCCTCTATGGTGGCATCCACACTGACTATATATTAAGAAGGCATGCTTAATTTTTCCAGCAATACCAGCTAGTCTAGTAAAAGAGTCCACTTTTGTCAGAAAATCTTGCCTTGCATGCCTTTTGAGAAACTTGATTTCTTAGATAAGAAACTACTCTTAGGTCGCTTATTTCCCAGCTGCTGGTAGTAGTGCATCACTTTTTTTTTTTTTTTTTTTTTTTTTAGATTTAGGGATTGTAGATTCCACTCATATCTATTTTTGTGGGAAACTGGTTTAGCCATGGAAGTAGATGTTGTACTACTTTAGCAGTTGGAATATGCTTTGAACCTAACTTGCCTACCTTTTGAAGAACTGATAAGCAAAACCAGTCTGCATCCCAAAGGGTTTCAAACTCTGTTAAGGATCCAGCTGCTCAGATGGATGGTTCCAGCTTTTAAAGTTAACCCTTTTACTCTTGCCCTGTAGTTTATATTTATTATAATTTTGCTGTCTTGCAAAAATGTGTGTATTTGTGAAATAGTGTGCATTTCACTGTTTTGAAGGTCTTATAAGATCATTCTTTGCTGCAGCACCACCTGATCATAGAATCATAGAATCTTTGGGTTGGAAGGGACCTTTAAAGGTCATCTAGTTCATCCTCCCTTGGGGGGAAACTCAGCTACTGAACTGAAGGGGTTGGTTACTAGAATTCTAAAGCCTAAGGAGTTCATAAGCAGTCTTGTATGACATTGTGGCTCATCCTCAGAGAAGCAGTATGCTTAGTTCTTTTTTGCTCTGTTTGATAGGTGCTGCTTCTCTTTGGAAGTATTAATTTCAAATTACTGACATCTTTTTTTAACTTCTTGTTTCCTAACTCTCTTCATCCTTCAGGGAAAGACTCTCGTCTCCTTGTCTTCAGACTCAGTGCTGTCCAAAAAGATATAGAAACAAAGCAAATGATAAGGAGCAAATACGACTGCAGAGAAAATAAACTGGAGAGAACAAAAGGTGGTTTGATTATCCTGTGCTTAAAAACATCCACTGTGATATGATGCCTGTAGTTGCCAGGGGCTTATTAGCTTCCCTGAGGCAGTTGTAGGTGTTCACCTTTAGTTGTTTCTCTAGATAGTCAATTCAAACTTTGTTAAGCTTATATGTCAAAATAAGTCTGGTATAGTCCAGCATGACATTTTAGAACTTTGTAAAAATACCATGTTACTGATAAAAAGCTCTAGAGAAAAATAGATATGCTGCTTTCAGGATTGACGGGTATGAAGACAGTTATGCAGGGATGTGAGACTGAAATAAAGGACATTTTAAGGTGGGAGAACACTGGCAAATCTCTGTTAAATAGTAATGTGTAGATTAGTTTGGGTGTTGACGATTATTTTAGTAGATGTAAACATTTTCTGGCCTTCAGAAGCAAGCTGCTTTGGAAAGCTGGAACATGCAGAATAGTAAAAATCCATGTATTTAGTCTTTACTTGCAAAAGGAGTAAGGGGAAAAATAGATTTCAAAAGAATCATAGCCTTTTATGTTTTTCTAGAAGTTAATGTTACCCTGTTGGGAGGTTTGTAATTCTGTGTTGCTAAGTCATGCATCAGAGCCCCATTATAGTAATCATCATAAAAATACAGAACAAAAAAAGCCGACCCTACCCCAAATACTTATGATCTAGAGCATTATTTCCTCAGGCTGCCATTTGTATGCCATTAATACTCACCACGGCAGCGAATTGAGGATCGTTGTGGCTATTCGGAACAAACTACTTCTCGTCACAAAGAAATATCATCCACACAACAGTTTAACCAGCAGCTCTCAGCTATCATCATCTGAATCTCCAGTAGAAGAGTTCCAGTACATCCGGGTATGTGTAATTTAATCGCTAATTACCTTAACAGACTGGGCAGCACTCAGCTACTGCAGGGGAGAAAGACAAAGAGCATGCATTTTTATATTCCTGAATCTCCAAACAAATAAAAGTGAGAAGCCATATGATGGAGTTCCATGTTTCTGCTTGTTCTTTTTCACGATTGTGTAACTATATTAAAACATTGTTTTAAATTTATGGAATACCTGCAGCGCCCACAGTAGGAGCTTGAAAAAGAGAATAATTCTGTTATTTACATTTATAGGAAATATGCCTTTCTGACCCTCCAGTGGTTATGACACTGGTGGATGGACCTACTGAAGACAGTGACAATATGATCTGTGTAGCATATCGGCATCAGTTTGATTTAGTTAATGAGAGCACTGGGGAGTCCTATAGATTGCATCATGTTGAAACAAACAAGGTAAGTTTTTGTCATTGAAACTATTTTCTTGCAGAACCACACTGAACATAATTTCTTGCAGACTCAGCGGATCCTGTGCAGACCTTTTGGGAGTGTAATTTATGGAGATCCTCATGTCTCTTACTTTTCAATTCTATAACCTCTGCTTTAGGGAACTCTGCGATACGTGTTCCTTTTGGGATACGTGATTAACAGTCACTCCCAAGATAAGTAGTTATATAAGGTAGGACACGTTAGGAAAGAGCCTGTGTTTCAGGCTCTGGACTATTGCTGTCAGTATAAATTAATTTTTCTCCTTTCTTAGTCAGTAGTTTTCTTTTTGTGTTTCCTTTGTTGTCTCAGTGTTTAATTGTTTAAGAAATTGCAGCAAAATAACTTGAGTTGTTGGCCACCCGTATCTCATTCAGATTTGCCTATTTGCATGTACTAAGGCTAACATATTTACACGTAGCTTTTAGTTCTATTTAAGAAACTGCTGCCCAATCAACGAATAAATTAACTGAATCTTTCTAACTAGGACATAGGGTTGGGATTTAAACAAATGTCCTGATTTTCAGAAAAGAGCTTCAGTATTACCTGCTGCGAAGATAATGATCTTCAGCATCTCTGAAAATCAGATAATTTTAATTGTTTCTAAATATGGATGTGGACATATAGCTTTAGACCAAAATAAAGGGAAGATTTTGCACGGTTAGTCTTTGTTGTTGTTGTTGTTTTTAACTGACTCTTTTCCTCCTAATGAGATAAGGGACTATGCTTTTCATTTGAGGGTTCTTGTCGATAGGTTATTTTCTTTTTAAATCATCTGTATTTTTATTCAGATCTGACGATGAAGAGGTTTGGTACTCCTAGCATGGGAAATACAGTGTAAGCTTCTCCACAGCACTGGAAAACTGTTAATCCAGATGAGGAGGAACTAGAAGTAAAGTATGGGGGTGCCACCACCATCACCACCACCACCCTGGTTCCTCTTCTCCCCAGGAATCCGTAGTTCCTTCGAGAACAAAAACAAAGCAGACAATTAGTATGAGCTGAGCCAGTGATCTTTGTGATGTTCAAGTGGGACACCAAATTATTTCCATGGGTAGCAGAACAGAAGTGGCTTTCAGTCACTACAAAGGATGGGTCAAAATGTATTTGGTATACATACATAAACTTCCAGGTCTGTTTAACAGTTTTTGACCTATACAGTAATCTTAAATCAAGAGGTGAACATCTAGTGTGTTGTACAAAGGAAGGTGAAAGAACTGCTGTTCATGGAATTGGTCTCTAACCCCTCTCCCTGCCCAAGTAGTAAATGTGGTCTGGGAAGCACTTCTTTAATGTAATCTTATGTATTTCACTAATAAGATCTCATTTCCTGAACAAGTACCCTACTTTTTATGGCTGGTTTGGGTTTTTTAATCTAAATGTAAAAGACAACTACAGAGTTGAAATATGAGAATTTATGCAGCCTTATGCTATGTAAAAAATACTGTGATTTATCCAGCTTCGGTTCTCAGTTTCTAAATTGCAGCCTATTCAGTAATCCTTAAGTATATCCCTATGAACCTCTGTAAGCGTTAGTGGTTTTGAACCAATAGTTGGTGCGTCTGATCTTTTTGCTAGTCATGATGTGCAATGGAGCTTTTTAGATTTCACTTTTTTTAAAAGAATTGCTATTTTTAGCATATTGTGTTGATTCACAGCTGTCCTGAACTCACCCAATTTCCCAAAATTTGTATTGCCAAATAAGTTATGTAAGTTTTTGTTGCTTTATACTATGGGTGTGGTATTGAATATTCAGTACTGTACAGAACTGAATACAAAAGAAATCGATTTCCATCCTGAGAGCATCCTGAAAATTAATCACTAAAAAGGCTGCATTTGAAAAATTGCTCTTTTTTTTTTTTTAACTTTTTTTCTTCTTTTTTTCTTTTATCTGTAGCTGTGCACTCCCCCAATTGATTGTATTCCTTGTTAGTCAAAACCTGGTTGTAATAACCTGAGTATCTTCTGCCTGCTCATTACCCTTTGCCATTATCGTTGCAGGTTAATTTTGTTGCAGCTATTGATGTATATGAAGATGGTGAAGCTGGTCTACTGTTGTGTTATAACTGTAAGTATTTAGGGAAGACCGAAAATGGAGTACCTCAATCTGCATATGTAATTCTTTTTTCATTGGAGTCTAGGTCTGTGTCTTAAAATAAATTTCAGTCTTTCACGGAAAGTTTTTCAATATAAGTTCTTTTTAATTTAAATGTATATTAGAGAGACTAGAAATTGAGGTATGATTTTATTGCAGGGTATGTTGAATTTAGACATACTAGCTGTTAGGTTTTAATTTCAGGTGTATAGATGTGTATCTATATATTTATAGATGTTACCACCTTACTCTCAAAAGTCCTATTTCTTCAGATCTACCTCATTCTTTAGGTAGTTACACACTTACTAGGTATTTTCAAGACACGTACAATTTAGCATTCCACTCCTTTTTCCCTGGGTGCTGTCATATTCTGTCTTTGTGCTTTTTCTTCCATCTACTTCTTGGCACTGTTGCATTATTTCATTGTAATTCTTTCAATCTCCTTTTATAAGACGGCCTTGGATATAACACGCATATGCTCTTCTCTGCAG